CATGGGACTTAGCCCATGCCTTGTTGCTTGTTCATTTGGCATGACTGAGGATTTTTGGCAGAAGTCAGCCCATGCCTAGGGTTAGGATTAAGAGAAAGGTGAAGCCTAGAGCTCCAGTGTTACTATGGCTGCTGAGGGACTGCCCAAGGAAGATCAAAGCTGCAGAAAGACTTGTCCTTTGAGAAGTTTTTCACGTGGCCTATGGCTGGGAGGTCTTTGGCTAAGGCTCAAACCAGGTTTACAGTTAACTTTAGGGCTTGGATTAGTTTTAGGGTTAGGAAGGTGACAAACCCTAGAGCTCCAGTTTGAATAAAGCTGCAAAGGTCTGCCCAAGAAAAGCTGAGTCTAGAGAAAGACATGTTTTGTCCGGCCCATGACTGTGGGGCTTTGACTAAGGCTCACCATACACCTTGCACTAGAGCTAGGAGTTAGTGTGTTTGGGACTTAGAGACCAAGCATAAAGCTCCGGTGTAAGAGGGGAGCGGAGGGCTGTAAACAGGGCTGCCCAAGGAATGGTAGGCTGCCAAGAAAATGTTTCCCCTATGAGCTTTTTCATCTGGACCATGGCTGGAAACCCTTTTGTTTGGGTTTAACTCTGGGTGTTGGATAAAGTTAATTTCAGGAGAGAAAAAGATCCTGTAGTTCCCAGATTAGCTGAGATCCCCTGTTAAATCTTCAATCTCTACCTTGAATGAGTGCATTGCACTGATGACAGTGATATGATCAGAAGGGGAGATTACATTAATGGGAGGGAACAGAATGGAAGGGAAGAAACCTCATTTTGCATACTCTTTGTCGGGTGGGGATATTTGTGGTTTTTTTGTTTTTCCACTGGGGTTTTATCTTCTTCTAGGCATGTTGCCAGGCACTGGAAACTTTGCCAGTGGTATAGCATTGCAGAACTTTGCCTCCCTATCTTTCTTTCCTTTAGTGATATTGTCAACGGCTATGTGGCATGCAATACCTTTGGCCCATGTTACTCTTCCTGTCTTCCACCAGATTAAAAGTTCCTGCTATAAAGAAAAAAGTGCAGAAGTAGAACTAACTATTTTTATTTTAGTGGATTTTTATGTAGCAAAGCACAGGGAGACACAAAACAGAGTCAGGTAAATGGGGCTTTGACATTTAGACAGACATCAGCAGTGCACTGCAACCTGGAGGACAGAGGGCTTCTGAGCAAAGGTGATGATGGAGCCAAGTAAGGCCATCAACTTCTGTTGAACTCATGACTCCATTTTGATTCAAGCAGGACTGAATGGGGAGGCAGAGGTGAGCATAGATGACATGATCTCTGTTTCTTAGAAAAATTGGCCCTTCAAGAATAACCACCAGCATTCACCTTGATGAAGATACATCCTTTCCTTTGCTGGAAGAAAAGGATCATAGGACAGGAGTACGGGTCTCAGCAATGATACTGTCACAGTCAGGGAACATCCCATGACAAAGTCTGCTATGATACATGTGTCCATCAGCTGTTGATCCTGTGGTCAAAAACGTGCCAACAGAATTGATGACCAATAGAGAGGGGATCACTATGCTCTGAATGACCACAACAAACCTCACTGTACTCTAGGATTGGGCACCATCTGTGCCAAGTAAGGACTATGTTTGTTATGGACCCACATGAAGGTCATCTTTTCTGTCCCCAAAGTCTTCTTATATATGGTGGCCAGAGGTGACCTGGAAGTAGCCTAGAATTTTTAATGAAGGGGTTCCTGAGAGCTGTGAATGATGGTGGAAACAAGGGATTTTGAGGAAGCTGCTAGAAACAATCCTCAAAAAGCAGATCAGGCATCCTACACTGAAAAGGGAGAAAGAGTGGGGTGTTGGATGCAGTGCTGGCCAAGAAAGCATATTCCTTGGTCTTACTGACAGAAGAGCACTACTGCTGTGCCTACCAGACAGGTCCTGCTAGAAATGGAAAGTTATGCCCAAGTCTGAATGCACTCATTTGTGTCATACCTGGTAATCTGCTGATCCTGCATTGATAATCGTGACCCAAAGTGATCTGGCTGAGAGCTGAAGTTCAGAGTAAAACTGTGCATGAATTGCTGATTCAACCTTCTCCTGAACAGTCTAGTGCCAATATAGCACACTGAAGTCAGAGAAAGTGCTAGTTAAGTAACTTGTGCAATGGATGGTGCTTGATGTTTTAGTCCTGTTTTTCCAAGTGCTCTGTTTCAAAATCTCCATCTAACTTTGAGCTATAAACCCCAAATATTTCCTGAGGATTGGGTATTGTTTTGGTCTGACCTTCCTATCCCACAAAACAATATCTTATGGTGAGCAATTACTTTGATTCATTATTACTCCTTAGAGTACTTTTTCCTCTAAAATACAAACTTTTGGATGAAGTAAAATATTAAGCCTTTTGAAGCATAATTTCAATTACTAGAGATTGGAATAAGCCCTTCACGCTTTATAAAAAGAATTTAAACTTCCATTTATAATGGAAATAGTACTTTAAATTCAGATGTGCTTTTGTTAAAAAAAGTGAATAACAAATTACATTATTTGCTTTGAGGTTAAGGGGTTATTTTTTCGAAACCGGTATTGCTTTTGGTACTGTATGATTATTATTGCAAACCCAGTGCCTTTGAACTAGAAGTCCCATATTCAAATGCTATTAAAAGTAATTTTCATTATATTTTTCTGAAACATTTTGATCAGATCATATAAAGTCAGACAAATGAGGTAATATACAATATGTGTCCACTTTTCACTCTCCATAATAATCACTTCTGTTACACTTACCTTCTCAAATACTGCTGCTCTAATTAGCTTATTTTGCAAGTCAGGGTCTTTTTAACTGCTAAGTTTATCTGGAGTCAGAACTTACATATTACATATCTCCCATATGATCTTTAATGGTAAATTCATACTGATTTAAATGAAGTTTTTCCAACCTAAGAAAAATCAACATATCATTTGAAATATTTTGAAGTCAAAGGAACAGATACATATGCCTAACTTATGTTGTTTTTTTCCAAAATTGTATTTTGTATTGTAGACATGATCTTACATACACAAGTGTAATGCTGCTTTAGATTGTATCTCCCAAATAAACCAACAATTTCCTCTCATTGCATACATTGTATTACTGCTCATGTTTTCAGCTTTAGCAATATGACCTGCTAGCAGTGTATGTACAAATACTGGATCATGTAAAGACTATGCTTTTGACTATCCAGAACATAAAATTCAGCCTTGCTAATTGGAAGCTCTTTTGGCTTTGGTACAAAATGAAATCCTTTTGAGAGGATGCTACCCAATTAAACACTTTTTCTTATATACTCTTACGAGAGTCGGTCACTTTGGGCATTACTAAGTGATATCTTATAATTCAAGAGAAAAATATCAGTTCAATTTTTTTTCAGGTCATATAGTTTATTAGTTATCAGATGTTATTCTCAGAGCAGTTGTATTTAGAAATTTCAGAAAGGTTCTAATTCAGTTTTTAGGGTAGACAAATTTTCTTTGGGACTTGAATAGACTTGAACTTGTACTCTGTCCTCTCATTCCTTTGATGAGAACCTCAATCAAGGATTTGAACATTTATTGATTGCTTAATTTTCTACAGTCTAATTAATGAATTAATTTAATTAATTAGTTGAATTGACATGTTTAGCTAATTAAAATTATTACTAACACATTCCAGCTTTCTAATGAGATCCCTTTCCTTGCCAAATATGTATCAAGGCCTATTTTATCCAAATAATCTTCAAGTCCGAGGACAGGAATGCAGTCTGGAATATCTGGATTTCATTTCTTTTGTTAACAGAGCATATTCAGCGTAGGTTAGCACCATCTGTATTTTCCTCCTTTTGTTTCATCTTTATTCATACAAAACCATTTTTCATTCCTCATGCTTGCTCAGCCAAGGTGTCACCCAATATTCTCATTTATTTCCTCCATTCCTCCTGGTGATTACAAGCCTTACAGATACTAAAGTAGTTTGTTGATGACTCCTTCTGTACTTTTCACTAATAATTGACAAATCAAGTAGTTAGCTGAATAGGCAACTTATTTGTGGTACAATACATTGATTTATCTTAAAAGCTTGCATAATAGGTTTAGGTATGATTAATTTAAAAGGCGTTCCCCTATAAGTATGTGGCATATTTCTGATAACTATTTGTCACCATTTGCTTCAAATAAGGGGTGGAGCTAATCTTGGAAAGAGCTTTTTGTGTTTGTTGGATGGAAGGTGAATGCTGCCCCAGTTGAAAATGCTGACTCATCTCAGTCTTATTTCCATTTAATTTACACTCAGCACAAACCAGAAAAAGAGCTAAATAGTACCCTCAGAGGAGCAAACTGAAACTATTTGCTGAACAAGTCCTTGTAAGCTACAGGGTTTAGTAAGAGAGGAAAAATATGTTTTAAAAGATGTAGATAGGAGTAGATTGTTACAGAACAGGGATGTTGAAATATTTGTTGTGACTTGAGGGACATACTGGTTTCGTCTAACAGCAGAAGAGCTGAAAAATTTCCAGTAACTCATTTGAGATACTGACGTGGCAGTGGAATGGGGAAGGCTGCAGGGTGGCTTACCTCTTGGAACCTGAGAACCCTTCTGCAGTTTCGGGGATCTTTGACTTTTAAGATGTCAGGATGTTAGCACATACCTGCACCTCTGTGTAGTTCAAGAGGCATCAATGGACTTGGCATCAATTTCTGCCACAGCAGCCTTGCCAAATTTCTTCGCGAATTTTCCCTGGGACAAGGCCAGTCTGTCACTTCTGAATTCTGATTCCCTTGAAATCAGTGGGACTTCCCATCAGCAGCAAAATCCAGATTTTACTCAAATGTGTAAGCAATATTTTCTAGCAATAAATTTGTTGTGTGGTTCTTGTTGGCTTTTTTCCCCCATGCTATTGGAATTTAATTAGCATAGCACAGATTATCTTTTAGTAAATATGCAGCATGTTTATAAAAGCTAAATTGTCTTCCTGGTATGTTTCACTGACTGGTAAAATGAATGTTTTTTATTTGTTCAGATGGTTTTTTGGCCCAATCAAACGAGCAGATGCCGAGAGACAACTGTCATACCCTGGAAACCAGGCAGGAGCCTTCCTAATTCGAGAAAGTGAAAGTCTAAAAGGCGAATACTCACTTTCAGGTATATTCTAGTTTTTCATCTTAAGCAATGTTTTAAAAATTTCTCAGGTGATCTGGACTTTTTTATTTTTGAAAACGATAAACTGTGGGCATGAAAATGAAATTAAGTTCATGATAATATTTCTTTCCCAGGAGATATATAAAGAAAACTTGGCAAGAGTCATTTGGGTTTTTACTAACATTTATTTTGTAGGCTTTGCTTATTAATATGCTCAGAACAGAAATTAACTTCCTTATGCTTAGCACTTCTAGTGTGCCAGCTGCCTTAAAATAGAAACTATTTTCATGATTAAAATGCCAAAAAATACATTACAGTTGTACACTACTGTTCTGATTAGTACACAAAATAAAAATTAAACCATGTTGGCAGTTATCTGCAGTTTAAGAAAATGAGATTTCTGCTAGAGCACACCCTTAGGTTTATATTTATTTGTTTTCAGGCAGGGTCAAAGTGATAGGAAGGTCTTCCAAGCTCTACTTCAGAATCAGTCATATTTCATTGAAAAGTTAGTTGTAAACATCAATAAAAAGTTAGATTTATGATGATTATGCGTTTTGAAATGTATTTAAAGTCCTTTATTTGAATCTGAAAGTGTCCTTATTTGATAATAATTTTACTTACTCACTTATATGTACATGTCATCTTTTTCATGTCGTAGGTATTTGCCATATTAGATAGTAAACATAATTGTTCATTGATTGTTTTCCGTGAACGTTTTCTATCAAACTTGTCATACAAGTGTGAGACAAGAGTATAATGTTGTCCCTGACATGACAGGGCTATACACCCAAACTTCCTAATGTGCTCTACCTATATAGTTCCACATGCCAGTGAAGACTCTTGATGTTTGTGAATAAACCGTAAGTTGTCACGTGCAGAATTACATCAGAAAAATGAGAGGCATCTTGTGCATAAACAAATTCTTTCATATTGACGCCTCTTCTGCCTGGATGTTTATGCATCAGTCATCTTCTGAGCATTACACAGAAACACATTAAGCAGGTTAATGAACTTTTGACACAATCTTGGTTTCTCCTTTTGAATCATAAGGAAAGGGTATATACCTGCAACGTCTTGTGGTAATGGGAGGGTTGCTTTTAATTGCCAAGACAAAAAAGTATATGTTGCCTGTGGAGTGAAATACAGGGAAGTTTATGAAATAAATATGATACTTACAGTTCTGGGAGAGTTCATTCCATAGTCTTCAGTTTTCCCTCAAGGAAGTTTGCTCTTGCCAAGAAGCTGTGATAAGAAAACTAACAACAGCAATGAATCAGACTGCTCCCAAACTGTGACTGAACTGACCCCTCTGTGTGCACCCTTTTATCCAAATACTGTATTACAGCTGCAAACCTTTCAAAATGCTTTACCTCTATATGCCAACTTATCCCTGGCTTACATGGTTTCAGCTACCTTCAAGTGTTCTTAATCAGTGAACTGATTTCATCCAAGGACTGGGCTAGACCAATAACAGCGTGGTGTTATGCAGGGAAGGATAGATAGGCCTGTATTAAGTGCTTAATGCTGGCACTTGAATACAGGACACCTTACTAAAAATCAATGAAAAATCTTGTGCTTGTGCACCTAGGGCTGGAAATGCAATTTCTTTTTGTTATTCTCCAACTGTAGCCTTGTAGGACAGATTCAAAATCTTAATTCTTCACCCTGCATCCTGTCTACTTCTCTAATAGGAAGGCAGCAGTACTTTATTTAAACTATGAAGTACTGCAGAGAAAAAGCCAAGAGAATGAAAATAAATATTAGGCCAGCATTTGTAGTAGGATGAGAACATCTTTTCATGCTGCTGTTTAATTTTTTCCTTACAAATCATGGATAGAAGCTATATTCTATCTGATTTGGTATATTTGATTCAATTGTAAAAGCTAGCGGTAGACATTTTTCGGGTTTCTGTACAAGCTTATTTAGGAACAGGAGATTTGATGATGGGTGATAACAGCAAGATATGAAAGCACCAGTGTGGATTTCTTCCATGCTGGTTTGTTTGATGAAAGAAGGGAAAAGTGGCACTGAAGAACATAATATACGTGAAGGCAAGGCTCCAGCTACAGGAGCCAGCCCTCCTTCACACACAAACATGGGTTGTCCTCTAAGCATATATGCATGTATATGTGTGTCATCTCAGATTTACTAAGCATTTGTGCTCTTTTAGGCAAAGAAAGAGAATAAACTCAAGCAGTCTGTAGACAGTGAGTATTAATGACATGATTTACCACTGCTGCTAAATCTTTTAGCAGCTTCCCAGACTTAAACGTAATTTAACCTCAATATGCTACTTCATCCTGAAGAGCTAAATATTATTTGCTGCTTACTGAATAGGCTTGACTGAACGGTGTCTGTCTGTGTTGTGCAAGCTTTTTTGCTTCCAACCTGTTAGTATACATAATGGTCCAGATATTGTATGTCCATAATCTCATTACTTATGTCTACTTTTGGGAGAGCTAGTGCATTCTAAAGCAAACGATGAAGTGGACTGCACTGTGGGGAGAATTGCTTGGAAGGAAGGTTGTTTAGTCCACCAGCTGCTATGGAGAAGGCAGTTTTTCTGACTCTCTCCTCTTTGTTCCATCAGAAGGAGTTATGAGACACTCAAAGCTGAGGCAGAAAAGCAGTGCTTTCTTGAGGAACAGTGATTCAGAAGTATTTCTTTTAAGAGGTCTTGGGTGGCTTCTGTCTCCATGGTAGGTGATACACTAACAGGAGAAAAGTCACAACCTGATATTTTGAAATATATCCCTAATGTCTGTTTCCAATTTTTTCAGCACAGAAAGATAGACCCCCAAACTCCCATCCTCTGTAGAACTGGTTGGGTTTGCTCTACCTGCTATTGCTGTTTTGGTTTCATAGAATGTAGAATCATAGAATCATTAAGGTTGGAAAAAGACCTCTGAGATCATCAAGTCCAACTGTTAACCTAACTGCCAGGTCCACCTCTAAACCATGTCCCTAAGCACCACATCCACACGTGTTTTGAACACTTCCAGGGACTGTGATTGCACCACTTCCCTGGGCAGTCTGTTCCAATGCCTCACCACTCTCTCTGTGAAGAAATTTTTCCTAATATCTAATCTAAACCACCCCTGGTGCAGCTTGAGGCCATTTCCTCTTGTCCTATTGTTTGTTACTTGGAGAAGAGACTGAGCCCCACCTCACTACAACCTCCTTTCAGGTAGTTGTAGAGAGCAAGAAGGTCTCCCCTCAGCCTCCTCTTCTCCAAACTAAACAACCCCAGCTCCCTCAGCCACTCCTCATAAAACTTGTGCTCCAGACCCTTCACCAACTTTGTTGCCCTTCTTTGGACACGCTCCAGCACCTCGATGTCCTTCTTGTAGTGAGGTGAACACTGAACACAGTACTCAAGGTGTGGCCTCACCAGTGCCGAATACAGGGGCATGATCACCTCCCTGGTCCTGCTGGCCACACTAGTCCTGATACAAGCCAGGATGCCATTGGCCTTCTTGGTCACTTGAGCACACTGCTGGCTCACGTTCAGCCGTCTGTCAAGCATCACCCCCAGGTCCTTGTTTGCCAAGCAACTCTCCAGCCACTCTTCCCCAAGCCTGTAGCGTTGCATGGGGTTGTTGTGACCTAAGTGCAGGACCCAGCGTGCAGAGTGCACTTATCCAAGCCATGAGCAGTCAGTTTCTCCAGGAGAATGCTGTGGGAGACAGTGTCAAAGGCCTTACTAAAGTCCAGGTAGACACCATCCACAGCCTTTCCCTCATCCACTAAGCGGGTCACTGTGTCATTGAAGGAGATCAGGTTAGTCAAGCAGGACCCATGCTGGCTGGGCCTGATCCCCTGATTGTCCCGCACGTGCCGCATGATGGCACTCAGGATGATCTGCTCCATGACCTTCCCCGGCATCGAGGTCAGGCTGACAGGCCTGTAGTTCCCTGGATCCTCCTTCCAACCCTTCTTGTAGATGGGCGTCACAGTAGCTAACTTCCAGTCAGCTGGGACCTCCTCAGTTAACCAGGACTGCTGGTAAATGACGGAAAGTGGCTTGGCAAGCTCCTCCACCAGCTCCCTCAGTATCCTCGGGTGGATCCCATCTGGCCCCATAGACTTGTGGGCATCTAGATGGAGTAGCAGGTTGCTGACTGTTACCTCTTGGATTATTGGGGCTTTATTCTGCTTCCCATCTCCGCCTCCCAGCTCAGGGGGCTGAATACCCTGAGGATAACCAGTCTGACTATTTAAGACTGAGGCAAAGAAGGCATTAAGTACCTCAGCCTTCTCCTCATCCTTTGTGGTGATGTTTCCCTCTGCATCCAATAAAGGATGGAGATTCTCCTTGGACCTCCTTTTGTTGCTGATATATTTGTAAAACCATTTTTTGTTATCTTTAACTGCAGTGGCCAGTTTAAGTTCTAGCTGGGCTTTTGCCTTTCTAATTTTCTCTCTGCATAACCTAATGATATCCTTGTACTCTTCCTGAGTTTCCCGCCCCTTCTTCCAAAGATGGTAAACTCTCTTTTTTTCCTGAGTCCCAGCAAAAGCTCCTTGTTCAGCCAGGCCGGTCTTCTTCCCTGCCTGCTTGTCTTTTGACATATGGGGACAGTCTGCTCCTGCACCTTTAAGACTTCCTTCTTGAAAAATGTCCAGCCTTCCTGGACTCCTTTGCCCTTCAGGACTGCCTCCCAAGGGACTCTGTCAACCAGGCGTCTAAACAGGCCAAAGTCTGCCCTTCTAGAGTCCAAGGTAGTGGTTTTACTGGTCCCCCTCCTTACTTCTTCAAGAATCGAAAACTCTATCATGATTTCATGGTCACTGTGCCCAATACAGCCTCTGACCACGACATCACCCACCAGGCCCTCTCTGTTCATGAACAGCAGGTCCAGCGGGGCGCCTCCCCTGGTTGGCTTCCTTACCAGCTGCGTCAGGAAGTTATCTTCTATGCACTCCAGGAACCTCCTAGACTGCTTCCTCTCTGCTGTGTTATATTTCCAGCAGATATCTGGTAAGTTGAAGCCTCCTATGAGAACAAGGGCTAGAGATCGTGAGACTTCAGCCAGCCACCTGTAGAATACTTCATCTGTTTCTTCATCTTGGTTGAGTGGTCTATAACAGACTCTGACCAGGATATCTGCCTTGTTGGCGTTCCCCTGATCTTTACCCATAAGCACTCGACCTTATCATTACCATCATTAAGCTCTATACAATCAAAACACTCTCTAACATATAGAGCTAGCCCACCATCTCTCCTTTCTTGCCTATCCCTTCTGCAGAGATTATATCCATCCATTGTGGCACTCCGGTCATGACAGTTATCCCACCATGTTTCCGTGATGGCGACTATGTCATAGTTTTCCTGCTGCACAAGGGCTTCCAGACTCTCCTGTTTATTGCCCATGCTGCGTGCATTGGTGTAAATGCACTTCAGTTGGGCTATTGATCTCATCTCCAACACAGGCATGCCACCCCTAGGCTCATCCCTAGCAAGCCTGGTTTTATCCCTTCCCCTGGTGAATCTAGTTTCACTCCAGGATAGATGATAATGACTAGAAGAGTGACAACCTGGCTTTCAGAATTAAGGTCTTTAAGAAAATATTGTAATTCTCTGTCCAGCCTAACATTTAAGTACAATAAAGCTAAAAAGGAAAAGCAGGAGAAAAGGAGGAGATATTTTTACCCAAGCACCCATAAACTGATTTTATGACTATCATGCTTGATTTCATGCTCATATGGGCAATATATACGAGACTTAATGTTAATGAGGGAGAGAAAAGGATCTTCTCTGGAAAAAAAAGAAAAAGAAATAAACCCTGCCTTTCCTTAAAATGACACTTTTCACTTCTAACTTGCTTTGATGAGAAAACTCACAATTTGTAAGATTTAGATGATAAATGACTATTTAAATTAAAAACAAAAAGTCATATTTGGAAAGGTTTTTCTCAACTCTGAATGGTTAAACAGAAAACACATCAAACCAGATAGGCCACTGAGATGTGTTGCCATCATTTTAAAGTGTTTGACATTTTAAAAATAGGTTTTCCCATTTTAAAAATGCACATGTTGTCGACAGATTTTTATGTTGATGACTCCAGCATCTGGTGTGAAATGTATTAAATTTTAAACATGTTGGTGCCATCTTAGACATTGCCTCTTTTTAATTAAAAGCCATAATTTAGATGTGCTCAGCTTAATTGAGTGTCATTGCCAGTGATAGCAGGAGACTCTCTACTTCCCCCTTCACTGAATAATGGTGTCTGAAAGACTGATTGCATTAAATGACAATGTAAATCGTTTGTGTTTTCTTCCATTTTTTTCCCTGCTCCTAAAAATGATTGTGTGGTTTCCTCTAGGCCAGATTGGCTTTCAGCATAGGAAAAAACAGGTAATAGTTTAAGGCAGCAGACTGGTCGGAGTGGCAAAATGGTGGCCGTAGCAGAAGAAAAATTTTGGAGCAGCCCCTGCACCCATTCTGTGCTGGTGAGGGTGGTCTCATAAGCCACCCTCCTCCCACATCTGCCCTGGGCATGGAGACCGAGCACAGCTCCTGCCAGCAGCGCTGCACTGTCAGTGCTGGGGGAGGACTGCTGATAGGAGAGATGTTGGGACACTGGCAGTAGTGGTGCCTTACTGTCTCCATGATTCATTTGGTGAAGATGTTGATTCTGCTGATGCCACCACAAATTTTGCTGCCCTGGGAAAGGAGTAGTAAATTATTTTATTCTCATCCTTGGGGTGGCAAAATCTACTTCTGCATGGCCCAACCTTATGAAGGTTGGAAGCAGGGAAAGGAGAATGCTTCTTTTACACCAAACCCATGAAGAAATGTAATGGGGAGTGGTGATTCTTTTGGGAAGGGCAAGTCGAGAAGAAAACCACTGCAGTCTTCAAACCTAGCTGCTGTCAAACTGTGTGAAGCTGAAGTTGTGATCCTGTCCTGTTAAACAGTCTGGTGTAGATGAAAGGATGACTGGAAGCACTGAGGGGGTTGCGGCTAGCTCTTCCCTGAGTGACACGTGCTCCGTGTTGTGTTGGGCAGAGGAGCAGCACCACGCTGCAGCTCCGCGAGTGTGCAGTGCAGGACTCGTGCAGCCAGACTCAGCCCTGGGATACAAGTAAACAGCCCCCTGTCAAATACTGCACTAATCTCAGCTGCTTATCGCAGGCAAAGATGGTGTCAGTGCAGAAATTTGCTCCAGAGTCTCCATACACATCACCGCCTGACCTGCATGCTGCCAATCATGAGGCTTCATACAAGGCTTATTTAAGAAATTATAGCACATTCTTCAAACCAACTCTTGCATTAACATTAGCTGCTTCACAAGTAATAATTATAATGTTGCTAATAAATAAAGGAGGTAGTCAAACTACTATCAGTTGTGATATACAACTGAGACTGGATTAACACAGTCATCCTGTTGGCCTTTTATTCATCATAAATATCAATTCATTTGGCTTGATGCACTTTACTGTGAGCTTTAGAAAAGTCATCACATTTCCAGTCTGTTGTTACTAAATTACTCCTTCCTTCATTTTGCTTCAGCCCCATTTTCAAATGATGCATCACAAAAATATACATGCATTTTATAAGTAAAAAATATTAATTGTGAGGTGTTAAATTAAAAAGAAATGGCATTTGAAAAGTGTTATGTAATTATCTTTATACTATGGAGTTATATTTACAAATATTCTTATTTCTGGTCCTCATGCAGAATTGTAAGTTGGTAAATCAACTCTCTCAAAATATTACCTGTGGCAGATATAAACTCTCCTAGCATTTTCAACAGCTCCTCTATGCCCTCTGGTGGCCTGGGGTGACAATCGCACAGTACAGTTGAAAAACATTTGCTCATACATGACAGTAGTTAAGGAAGGAGAGATTTTTCGTTTTAACTTAACCACTTAATAGTGAGAGAAATTATACTTTATATCAGGTTTGTTAATTGCATGCAGCCCATAATTTTCTGAATTTTTTTCTACATACAATATGTACCTGTGTATTCTGTTAGTATAACCAAAGTGATTGCCAGCATTCATGCAGTGTTACAATTTCAAGGATTTATCAGCTATAATATCTTCAGGGGAGAGCAATAACAATTTTTTAGACAACCAGATTTTCCAATGTAACAGACCGAGGCTGCTTCTAGGATTGAAAAATATTTCCATTAAATTATTTAACTAAGAGTAGCCGCTAGTCAACATGACTAAATTCAAAATGTTTGTTTGCTGGAAATTTGGTTACTAAAACGTTACTGGACATAAACAGCAGAAGGCCTTTCCCCTATGCCTCCCTTTTGCTTTTCAGACTTTCATCTTGTGTGAGGGCCCTGAGAAGGGGACAGTAATGGTAATCACCCAAATCGATGGGTGTGGAAGGAGACACCTGGCCTGCTGGAAGGGTGTCATGTTGGGTGATGAGGACCAGGATGGCAACTGGAGCATTCCCCTCCCCTTGAGAGCTCTCTCATCACTCATCATGGAGTGTTGTTTCATTAAATGCAGGGTGGGCTACCCCTCTGAGAGGAGCTAAATCAGCTACCCTTCAGCATGTAACATAGGCTCTCCATTGCCCATTGGAAATGGACAGTGATGTCTCAGCCATGGAGTTTCATGCTAAATGACACCCCACATGAGAGACTACATTCCTTTCCAGCTCTTCAGAACTGCCCTCTCTGCTGACATTCAGCCTGCCGTTGCTACTGCTGATATTCCTTTGTAAGGGAGATCTATAAGCCAGTTGTCTCCAAACTTTTTTGATTGTGCAACCCTACCAGTAAAAAGATTTCTGAGCATTCACGCTGATATATGTTCATGTATTTATTTATTTATTTGTAAATTATATACATGTATTACTGTACTGATGAATTATGTACATTAGAGAACATACACAAAAAAAAGAAATTAAAAAAGGATGAGATAAAGGTGAAATAAACAGTATTTTTTAAATATTTATTTTATTCTATTTATTAATGGTACAAAAAATACTTTTTTCCCACACCCCAGTGGATTGTCTTGAGCACTCCCTGGGTTGCACGCACTCTGGTTTGGAGACCACTGCTCTAAACCAGATATGACAGAGCCATCAGAAATGGCAGTTACAAGCGTAATATTCCTTAGATAACACACTAGGTGAATGACAGTACATTTTTTTGTCCACCTTAGGCCTGCTGCTGGTCTGGGTCTAGCCCCGGCATGCAGTCGCCCAGCCTTCTTTCTGACAGTCACAAGGAAGGACACTTTGCGTGTCATGACATGTAGGTAAATAACCTGCAGGAGGTGAGAAGAGAAAGGTCTTGTTGATTAGGAAAGAATAGATGAGAATAAAACACATTTCAATAGAAAGGGAGTCATCAGCTACTTAAATCAGAGCATTATTGGCCTGAGTTTTACATGTGCAAAACTCAGTAAAACCCATGGAAGATGTGAGTGCTTTCCAGAGAATCATGGCCGTATGGAGGGTGTATGTTTGCTCTAAAATGCTTGCCAGCCCAGCAGCTGCTATGTGGAAAGTTAGCACTGGTAAATGAAGTATTAAAAACTGATTAAAAGATTACTGTCAGTTAGGCACTCTTGGCTGGTTTTGGTGTCTTAAAAGATTGAAAATATGAGCTGCCTCACAAAAGATGTCTTTATGTATTTTTGTGTCAGTTCTTATGGTGCAAGCAAGAATCTCTGAACCTGAATGGTTAAAGACCAGTAGACTAGGTATGTTAAGCTATCTAAACAGTGGGCTTTGGTTTGAAAGAGGTTTTATATAGTTGTCATCTTTGAAACTAAAATAATTTATTTTAAGGTCCTCATAAATACATTTAGGAAAATTATAATGGTTTGTCCGTAAGCTATATTGTACCATTGCTATAATTCCTGGAAACGTAATATTTTTAAATCTTCTTAGTTTTTGATGGCGTATCTGTGAAGCACTACAGGATCAGAAAGCTGGATGAAGGAGGCTTTTTCCTAAGCAGAAGGAAAACTTTCAAAACTCTGAATGAATTTGTTGACTATTACAGTAAGAAAAGTGATGGCCTCTGCGTGGTGCTCGGAAAGCCATGCCTAAAGGTAAGAGTGGATGCTACATTGTGCAACATGTTTTTTGTAAGCTAACTAATCAGATATCAGTCAGAAGGTGTTAACTCCATGTCTGCTTCTACCATTTCAAAATGTTGATGATCTGCTTATTTTTGGGAAGTTCTGGGTAGCACTGCAGCTTCGGTCTTGAAGCTGACATGTTAATAATAAAATACCATGCTGTTTTGAACAAATCATCATGTGGCTGGAGGAGAAAATATGCCAAATCATGATTTATGAATACCTTTTTATAAATGTATATGGAGATGAAATCTCCAACTTCATAACTCTAGCTGTCCATAAGTAATTACTGAGACAAAACCACAAGGTTCAGGCGAGCAATATGTCACTGTTCAAAAAGCTTGCTAGAGGCATGATTTCTAATTTTTACTTTTAATGGCAGGATATTTTCTTTAGAGTATTTCTTATTTCTAACAAAAAGTACCCAGGATGTGGGCTGTATTTTATGTTCTCAGCTTACTTTATCACGTGTGTGTACTCTATGCAAGCATTATTTATATCAGTTGTGACTTTACATGACATAGTTAACAATGACTTGTATATGCTGTTGAAAAAATATTAGGAGTCACAATTACTGTATTATTTATTTTCTTTTACCAGGTACAAACTCCTACTACTTTTGATTTGTCATATAAAACTGTCGATCAGTGGGAGATAGACCGACAATCTCTGAAATTGTTGAAAAAATTAGGATCTGGTCAGTTTGGTGAGGTATGGGAAGGACTGTGGAATAATACCACCCCCGTGGCAATCAAAACATTAAAACCAGGTATGTTATTTACTCTTAAATGCTAATAATGTGAAGTGTTAGCAAGGGTGCTCCTTTATTTTTTAAATGCTACTGAAAATAGAGCCTATCCATCTATGCAACCACTCTTAAAATCCATGCACTTAAACATGAAGGTTAGTAAAGCTCAAGGTCCAGATATTCTTTGGTATTTTGAATTACGATTTTATACAGTTTTCTGTTTCCCTGTGAGCTGAACTCATTCTTATTCAAATCTGTATTACATAAAAAGGCAACCCCAGCAAGGCCATCTCTTTTGTACAGTATTGCTTGTAGGGAACTGAATGACTACGTTTCATCTGTAGGTGAAGTAATCGATTTACTACTGGTTTGTCATCTGTAGAATTTCTTCTAGTGATTAGATGCTATATTATAATCATTCCTTTGGTAATATAGAATATGTACTATGTTAAGTTTGTATTTAAGAAGTGCTTTAATCTTAACATTGATTGAATAAAATTTCTCAAAATTTTTGATACACAACATTAATACCCAATATTTGCATATAATATAGCCTTGTAACTAATACAGCTTTTAACATTTTTCTTAATTATTTTTCATCAACTTCAAGTAATTTGTGCATTTTAAATTGACAACATAAAATATCTGCCAGCAGATGGCAAGAACCACATAGATAAGAAAGGTAGCCTGGATGATATACATGGTTTTTTTAAAAAGAGATAACAATATAATGAGTTGCTGTTAATTGAAAAAGCTTGTGTTAGGCATTAGTGATCATGTTTCAGGAAGCAGAACAGATTCAGATCTTTGATTCAGAAGAACAACTAAACATGCTTGAGCCCTGCTTGAATGGTCTCCTGAACAGGGAGGAATTTAAGCATGTGCTTTAGGGCTATCTTGCATCAGGATATTTTTTGTGTTTTGGGACTTGCAAATTGAAAGCAAATAAGCACCTTTTTTTCTCTGCTTAACTGAAATTAGAAAAACTGCTCAGACTAAAGGCCTTCTATAATTCATGTCAAAGACAGCATACTTTTTTCAGTGAACTGATGCATCTCCCTAGCGACCCAGTAAACACAGAAACCATCTTGAAATCTCTTTGTCCATTTCTCTTTCCTAAGACAGTATCCACTAAGCCTATACCTTTTGTGACAGGGATCCATATGCCTATTTTTATTGACTTCTGAAATCACAAGTGTGAAACCAGTCTTTTTCTCCTTGTGTCTGACCTGAATCTTTCATTCTGCAGTACAAACCCATTACCTCTTGTCTTACACACCATGACTAAAGAGTACCTATTATTTTCTTTCACTTTACAGCCGTGTTGTACATACTAGAAAACTATTATCAAGTTCCTCTTTGGTCTTCTCTTCTTTAGGTTAAACAGCTCAACCAGATTCTTCATGTAGCTCAGATGTTTTAGATGTCCCATTGTTTTCAGAAGATCTTTACTGGGCTGTTTTGAGTTGGTAACCATATTTTTTCCAAGTATGATGCTAAAAGGAAGAACAAGTCTAGATGTGTAAAGAGGGGGATTTGCTTCATGTTTCTGAAGTGCTAGGCCTCTGTTTAATCAGTCCAGTATGATGCTTGCCTTTCTTCTCCATACAACAAGAACCTAATATTTCCATCTCTGTTTATTTTCCTTTAGTGGTTTAATGCAATATCTGGACAAGTTTTATTGCAGAAGACTGAAGGGTTCTTCTTAAAGTGTGAAATTTCTTAAACAATATTTAAAGCAGGAAACTAATGAAGATGAAATGAAGAACAAGACTAAGCTATCTTAAATTTTTGTGGCATTAAATTTTCTTTTAGAAATTGTCTTTTCTTTCCTCTTTAAGAAAATATGTGGTAATTAGCACTCTAGGAAAAGATTTGTTTCTCATCAAACAAAATAATTAGATTTTGAACAAATTGCAGTGCATGCATTTCTACTTATTTTCTTTAGTGGAAAAGTGCAGCTGACATTTATCTCGTATTGCATATGCAAAAATGGGAAGCTATCTTAATCATATTTCATCTCCTTCTCTTAATAACTCACTTCAAAACTCTAATTCAGCTTTTCCTTCTGTGTAATGGGGACAGTACACATTACCAGTTCTCTGTGAAACAAACTTCTCTTTTAATAATGGATTCAGTTAAAACTGACAAGACTACCCAGAAATACATGAAACACTAGTGGCAAGTTCCAGGTGCAATTTAACTTTTTTTTTCTTTTCCTTTTTTTCCTTTTTGATGCTGATCAGCTGAATGACTGCTACTAATACTCCACCTGAAGAAAAGGAAGAGTTAGCTAATTTTATATCTGAAACAGATTTTAACATGTTTAAGGACAAACTGATCTGTGGAGGTCCGTTCTTTGACTGTTGTTCAATTCATTATCTTTTTAATGTCTTGCTGATAAAGCACACAGAGAACACAATACTTCTAGAGCAACATGAGCAGGAAAATAAGTTGGGTTTTTTTGGTTTCTATAATAATAGGGTGTCCTAAGAATGCACTTATAGAAGACTGTAAAACAATAAAAAATGATCACATGAACTACTTCTATAGGTTTGTTAGCTAAAAATTAAATTTTACAGTGGAATAAACATAATATTCACTGCAAACTTTTTATTACGTACAGACTAGCACAGTACAGAGGAAGAAGCCCGTTCAACTGTGATACTTTTTGTAGTATCATAGTTTGGCTGGGAAAAAGGGCTTGATTAATCAATACTTTTTCCTTCTCTGTTTTTTTCACTCTAGTCTGTCTCCTGTTAAGGTCAACAGTAGCAGTCTCATTGATTTCACAGTGGGTTATATTGAGTTAAGGCAGACACAAGCCCCACCTGGATGTGATGCTTGGATAGTCGAGCGTTTGTGATCTAATACTGTGATAGAGAAGTTGTGCATTGCACTTAGTGATGCTCAGAATGAAGACTTTGATTCTCAAAGACATCTTGATAAATTATATAGGTAATACTGAATCTCTTTCTTACCACTGTACTTTGTGAACTATCTTGTTCTACAAAAACAGTTTAAACAGTCTCAAATGGAAGCATTTAACCTTGTAGTATACTTCTCTAGGGAATTATGCTCTTCTGCACAATGTTTTTCACCACTTGGAATGCCTTACTGTAATCAGTTAGCACACTGGTTTTCCATACCTTGTTCTCATCATTACTCATAAGGAATAACATTTCAATAATTAAAGAAAAACCCCAATACCCTCACCCTAATCTGCGTAATAAATGCTTAGCTTGGTACTAATAAAATTATAGCAAAGGCTAGGTCTAGTAATTTCATTCATCATAATATAAAGATGATAAGTGAATGGAAAACATAGTAGTTCATGAATAATCAAGAAATGCATCACGTTATATGTTGATGATTGAAGCTTCCAATATTCACATAGGCAATATTTCAGGCTTCAAGTGTGACACGCTGCAAAATGATCCTCTCCTGTTGCTGGGCTCAAAAAACTAAATCAGTTGTCTTTACACTGCGGGAGGGTGGGACATATTTTAAAGAAAATCCTTTTTGCTAAGCTACTGTACAGTGTAGACCCACTGGAAAAGAAAGTCATCAGACCAACAGAGGGGTCTGCTAAAGTGTAAGTAATCTGGCCAATGTAGGGAATAGAGATAGAGATGGTTCTGTTAAAACTTAAAATTCTGTTAAACAGAGAAATTGTGACATGGAACCATGCTCCAAGCAGGAGCAGCTTAATCAAGAAAGGTAATCACACAGTAAACAATACAGAGGAGCATAATGCAATCAGGACGTAGATTTATAGGCCTGAAGTCCAGAAGGGATTTCTGGTAGTTTGAGTTTTTCTGTTAAGTGTTATTTTGCAGTGTACATCTGTCCTAGATCATGTATAGTCTGAATACTTTGCTGTTATATGCCATTACATTTCACCTCTCTGCTGAGATAGAGTATTTATATTTAATCAAAACACAGGTTGTTCTTGACCAGATAATAACTAGAAGTCTTCTAGTCCTGAGCTGGAGGCACAAAGAGAAGCTATCTTTGACAGTTTGTATCAATGGTATATCACTATGCCTGTAAGAATGTGGGCCTAATTTCTCATCTGGATTTACCTGATGTCTTCTCTTTAACTCTTGTTATGTCTTCTTTTAATAAAATAAAAGCCTCCTGGTATGCATTATTTTTTCTTTCCTTTCTGGAGGTACATACAGAACAAGTTAAACCAATTTTCAATTGTCTTTAGAAAGGCTAAATATAGTTTCTTGTTATATTCTCTCTCATTTCTTAAATAGTTTTTCTGGACTTACACCAACTTCTAGCTATTGCTGCTAGAAGTCTTAAAATGATTTTGTTTAGGTTAGATGACCTTCCAACCTCTAGGAAAAATCAAACTCTCAGAATTCTAGTGAGATGGCAGTGATGGACTTTTCCCAGTGCCAGTTCTCACTTAATGCAAATGTGTGATTCCTGACTTGTGAGTAATTAGGGTATTCAGAAATCTGTTTCCATTCCAATTTGGAGCAGGAGCCAATTTTTCAGATATTGCAGACGGAAGTTGAAATTTCACAAATGTTTCTTTCAGAAACATTGATGCATAGCATACTAGCTACATTTTTCCTATTTTTAGGCATCTAACATCTTAGATGTATCAGTCTTTTTTAATAATTAGTGGGAAGAAATAAGCACTTACATGTCAGATAAATCATACTATAGATTAGAAAGGTATATTACAATGAGAGAATAACATGCTATTAAAGCATGTTTCTTTCCCTTGATGGTAAAGCCTGGACAAATAACTCAGATCTAGGTGCCTGAATAATTGCCTACAGTTGGAGGAGATGAATCCAGCTACCAGCAGTGTTCTGTAATTCCACAGAATTTACAACAGTAACAATACTGAGGAAAACGTCGAGTTGGTGGAGCCTCTGAGACCTTAAACTGGTCAGCCTGGGAGGCCGCCGACCAAGAACTGCAGAGGGATTGGGGTTCCTGAGGAGACTACGGGAAATGTTCATCTGCTGATGAACCTGGTGGGGTGTCATTTCACC